TGTCAGGTTTCATTTCGGCTGCCTGGGCCCTTGCTTCGGCAAACAACCAGTTGGAAGACTACATTGGCTTTGCCAGTACGGACCACAGTGCAAACTTTTACTACCGCATTATCCCTGAGCTCTACTCGTTTGGACTCAACTACGAATCAGTTGATATCTGTGGTGGCATGGCTAGCTTCTTGTAAGCTGTTATTTTCTGGTGCAGTCAGAAGAACGAAGCTGCGAAACGGTCTTGCTGGATACAGAAGCTCCAGAAAGGAGACAATTAGTTTTGTATTTACGAAGACGGGATGGCGATGAAGGAATGGTAGTGAAGGTAGTTTATGTATAATCAAATAATCACTATCATCAAATCCGCTCCACATGCTTCCCACTTGTTGCCTAGGTTGCTTAGTGAACCAAGGGGGTTGTTAGTAATTCACGAATTTTACTATGTGGCCGAGTACTTCTCGCTGCTCATGTGGGCGGGTAATTGGTATTCGTACTAACGATAACAAAAACATGAATAATGCTGACGATAGCGATGCCGACGAAGGAGACAAAAGGAAGGATGCTGAAGAAGAAAATGACAAAAACAATAGAGTTACTCAAGCAGGTAGCTAATGAGAGTAGTATTGGCTTGATGGGAACCCGACAGCGAAGTCTTATTCACTCGTGTCGTGGAATGTAGCCTCAACGCGATCTCTCAATCTTTGATCATGTCGTAGTCAAGTAACACATCGAATAATTTGTATCAAGTGGTGAAAGAACTCACCTGTTCAACTTAACCACATTTTCCCGGCCAGCCTACTTCGAACAAAAGTGGTATAAGGATGACGTGGGTTTACACAGTTAGAAACGCAGGTGACAGTTTTTGGAAGTGCATCTAGATGAACAAAGCGACAGGAAACAAGCAGTGTGACAGTTTGTGCACAGTTTTCAGCTGGGCAAGGTACATTAGGCTCAATGAATAGTCTATGCAAGGAGTTATCATTAAAATTAGGATCTACAACCTTCGACATCGTGAACAGCCAATCCAACCCCAGGCTCAAGCATAAACATGCTCTTGGATGTAGGCGATCTCAGTTGCCCTGTAGTCATCCCTCTCAATGTAGCCAAGCTTGGAGTAGTTCGCGTTGAAGACCAGGTTGAGCGGCTGATCAGGCGTGTATTGGGGCCAAACAAGACCCTTGGTCCAAGGCCAAGGCCAGCCGTTGCACTGATTGGGGTCGGTGTCGTGGATGAAGGCCACCCACATCTTGCTCATCTTGTCGGCCAGCTGAACATACGACTGCGGCTTGCCCTCAAAAGGATTGGTGGCATACCCGAGACCATTGACGTTGTTGAAGACGAACGCGACCTCCTGGAAATGAGTGGCGCCGTAGATGGGTCCGAGGCCGTTGACGTACACGTTCCAGCGGTAAGAGTAGACGGGGATGCCGGCGTCAGAATACGAGCTGGCGAGAAGGCGTCTACCGCTGTGCTGTTGATAGTCTCCTGCGACGGCCGCGACACGCTTCCATTGGGAACCGAACGCAGTGCCAGTGGGTCGATCGGGATACGACGCTGGGATACCGACGGCGGGGTCATCAGGGTACAACTCCTTGAGAGTGGCGATCTGTGTGGAGTCGACCAGCAGACTGCTAGCGAGCCACGACTCGAACTGCTCCGTGGTGTTGATGCCCTGTTTGGCGTAGCCCGTGCCCTCGTCAAAGTTGTTGCCGAGAAGGAGCGGGACGGGAGCGAATTTGCCCTCGGCAAGAAGCTTCGTGGCCTTGTCGCTGATGAAATCGCCGTCAATGACAGCGCTGATTGTAGGGGCAGTGACGCTCAAAGGGTTGGTGCCGTTGAAGATGGCGTTGAGGGTCTGCCACGGGAGAGCGCGCACGCATGCCAGACGGTCGCTAGCATCAGCGCATCCAGTCTTGGCCAAGAGTGCTTCGAAGTACGGCTGCCAGGCATCAGCGCCGACGAACTTGGCGACAGAGCTACCACTCTCGAGGATGGCGCTGCGGAAGAGGTTGTCGTGTTGTCCATCATAGGCAATGAGCTGCATACCCAATGACCGTGCGCCAGCCGACTCGCCCCAGATGGTGACCTTGTCAGGGCTGCCGCCGAAGGGGGAGATGTTCTCTTGAAGCCATCGCAAAGCCAAGCGCTGGTCCCTGAAGCCGATGTTGCCCGCGCCGACGTCCTGAAGTTCCTGGCTGAAGAGGAAGCCCCAGTAGGAGAGACGGTAGTTGATGCTGGCAGCGATGATGGGCTTGTTCTCCTTGACGGACTGCTCGACGATGTAGCTAAGGTTGTATCTCGGGTCGCGAGAGCCGCCATTGACGTAACTCTGCCGAGGTGAGAGTCAGTGATGGCCGTCGTCTCAAGTTGGGAAGAAGTTTACTTACGCCGCCGTGAACCCAGATACCTACGGGGAGGTCATCTCCAGGCTTCGTGCCGGCCGGACGGACGATGTTGATCGTCAGGCAGTCCTCTGAGACTGGGTTGCCCAGGTTGGCAGTATCTGAACCATACCCAATGCACATCCATCCATATTCGGTAGCGTTCCTCGTCTCCTCAAACGAAGAGTTCAGCGGCTGAGGTGCTGCATAGCGAAGGGGGCCAATGGGGGGCTGCGCATATGGGATGCCCAAGAAGAAGTCCTGAGCGTACTCCTCGTTCCGGACACCAACATACGTTCCATTGGACAGACGCACGGAAGGAGGCGAAACGTCATGGTGACCCGGGAAGCACTCGGACAGGTCAAAGCCCGACAGGAGCACCAGAAGAAGGTTAATTGCGTTTGGACGCATTCTGGGCAGTTTCAACGTCGTCGAAGGGCTCGAAGGAAGGCTTCTAGAAGTCAAAAAGATGAGGAGGGTGGCAGGTGGCTGAAAACGGCGCGTCTCATGTCAATCGCAGAAGAACTGATTTTGAACCTGCAGAGCTGCACGTTGTCGAGCTAGCCGGGAGGCAAGGAGTCGGCAGCCAGTCGTGGCATTTTGTCAACTAATTGCCTCATCGCCATCCAACGGTCGACGACTTCTCCCGACATTGCCTAGAGACTAACGGTTGCGACGGCGTCGCTACTAGGTGCTAATTGGGATAGTAATCACCGATCGGTCGTGGGACTATCGATGAACCCTAGATCGAATATACTCCCATGACACCATCTAGCCCCTTCCTCTGCCCCTCGGGGTGTCCTTTGGGGTCCGGGGATCGGGGAGGACCACGAGCCTTTGCAGGCCGTGTGCATGATTTTCCCTACCCAGATTGCGAAGAGCTCGCATGGCCCCCATGAGGGTTCGTCGTTGCTGCCAGCTTGCATTCGTGGCCCTTAATCTCATCTCGTAATTGCATGCTGTTGGTGTCTAGCGTCATTCCAACTTCTTGCGGACCATCGGCCAAGCGTTGCTGGTTTCGGCTTAGCATAGCAAAATGGTGAGACTACGCTACCGTCTAGCCACCTTCGCCCGTTGGTCAACGGCTAATGACTTCCAACTTGATGACCTCGGTTAACCGAGTCTAGAAGCCCCGGTTCATGTATAACCGGGGGAATCCCACAGTCGCACGAATGGGATCTCGCCCCGTTTGATCCACATCATTTGAGTTCGACGCTAGAAGGCTTACCCCAGCTAGTGTGTAAGGCTGGGATCTCTTGGCCTGGCGTGATCTTTGGAGAAGAAAAGGGCGGAGTCTTCAGCTGGGTTGCGTTGGCGTGGAAATTGTTGCCTGATGCAGGTGGGAATCTCGTGTTGCAGAACAAAGGAATAAGGAAATATCGCATGCAGACTGCTGGAGAACATCGTTGGTTGCAAGAAATTTTCCGGGTGAGCGGGAAGACATCTCGATGACTGATGAGAAAGAGAGAAGAAAAAAGCAAGAATTACTCGTTGGTAAGATCAACCGAGTAGCGAGCCGAAGCCGACGCGTTTGCCGAATCTCCGTCTCCGTACAATCCGGCTTTTGCAACGCCACATTACTTGATTTGGTGGCCCAACATGCCGGTAGTCTAGTGAAGTGGTGTGAAGAAGCCATGGAAGGATGCAAATGCATGTTGGGAGTTTCGTGTGCGACTGCCAATCTCCCATCTGCCCACCGTCACCCTTGAGGTTGCACCCCCCCCTACAGCCTGCAGGGCGACGTTCAAGCAGATGGCCAGTCGGCCGACAAATCGGGGCAGGAAAACGGGAGACTGAACGCCCATCCGAACTCCGTATCTCTAACTGGGACGACTCGGCTCGCCCTAGCGCACACACATGATTGTAACTTTCGCCCTGGTTTCGAGGGGGGCACATAGCGCGAAAAGAGTCGGGGACGTCTTTCCCAAAAACCACTAAACCAGCTGGTCTCCTCGGGGAGGGAACCTTTGTTGTGCCTGGGATACACCCTTGCAAGGAGCGCTGATCAGAAAAACTTACGAATATGCTGGTTTCCATATTATGAGGGTGCGGTGCACCTCTGCTGTTGGGGGCTGTTGGTTGAACTCTTGCGAGATCTGACGATTTTCAACCCAAGCTTTTGTCCACAGAAAACTGTGGCCCTGGGGCTTGTGCCGCAAAGCCGACGATGGTCGACGATAGAGGCGGCCGGCTGCTTGCCGCAACTTGGTCGTTGGTAGGCGCAAGCGCCATACTGTTATTCCTCAGAATATACTGCAAGATATGGCGTGGCAGGGGACTTTGGTGGGACGATCACTTGCTCATTGGCTCTTGGGTATGTGTGCCGCTCTTCTCGTATCTCATCATCACGAACGACCAACCTAATTGTGCTGCGTTGCAAAGGCTGCGTTGGCGATATCCGTTTCCATCAACTCTTACATCGTGTCACTGGGATTTGGTCGCCATATATGGACCATCAGCGACGAAAACCGAAAAGAGATCAACCTCTTCACGATCCTTGTCGCAACCTTCGGAATCATCGCGACGACAACGAGCAAATCGTCCTTCGCCCTCACGCTATACCGAATCGTAACCAACAACTGGACAAAGTACTTTTTGATTTTCGTTATCGTGTCGATCAACATCTCGATGAACCTAATCTGGATATTTGGGTTCGCCAAATGCACACCCCTGGAGAAGGTCTGGGATGGCAGTGTCCCCGGAACATGCTGGGATAAGACCAAGTTGGTTCGATACCAGCTCTTTGCAGCATGTAAGTTGATCACTATGATCACGAGACAACTTCATCGTGGCGTAGCAAAACTGACAAGAATCCATTCAGATTATTCAGCCGTCCTCGACTTTGTGCTGGCCTTTCTGCCCTGGCCGATCCTGATGAGGGCAACAATGAGACGTCGCGAAAGACTCGGTGTTGCCATCGCCATGAGCTTGGGTGCTATGTAAGATCTCTGATCCGGATCTCGCGGATAGAAAAACTGACGGGTTTCAGCGCCGGAGCTTGCGGAATCGTAAAAGCTGTTTTAGTCGTCTCAATGACTAGCACGGATATCACATACGATCGTGTCGACCTCACTATCTGGACCTTGACTGAACCTGCCGCCTCCATCATGGCTGTCTCAATTCCTGTCCTGTGAGTATATAACGCACCGTTTTACTGCATCATTTACTAATGTCTACACAGGAGAATGCTGTACCGCGAGCTGAAGTCCGCCTCGAGAAGTTACGGACGGAGTAGGTCACAGACGAATGCACTCGAAACGGCAAAGACGGCGAGGACGAAGCGATACGGACAGGGAACCCATTACGGACGGAACTCGGTTGTTGTCATGTCGACGACAGGATGGCAAGAATCACAAGAAGCCTTGCAAGATGTGGAAAGCGGTCAGACTACGCCGCGAGGCATTATGAAAACAGAAGAAGTCAGGGTACGGCACGAGAGGATGCCACCTGCAGGCGACAGCAAGAGCTCCATAGAGCTTGATACTTTTCGGTAGACCGGACTTTTGGGACCATTGGGAGCATGGGAAGCGCGAATGATACCTGGGCAGTGTGCACCTACTTTTCGTTTTAGTAATGAGACAATGAAGACTTCAATTTGTTTTCAGAGTAATCCGTAAGGGATGTGTCATCGACAAATCAGTGAGACTTCAATGGGTGCCTTCCGACATTTGACCAAAGCATCTTCAATGATACTTGGCAGACTCAATTCTAGGTGGCCTCGCATAAACCCTGATTACAATGTGATTTGGGTGTTGCTTCAGCAGGGTGCTGATGGTTGGGCGGTCCAGAACGCCAACGCCTTTATGCAACAATAAGCTTCGTTGGTAATCAATCAGACAACGTCTCACATGCAAAGAAGAGAAACAAGGGACTCAGTTACACTCGTTCTCGTGAACATTTCAATGTGACCCTACCGCTACGATTAGAAACAAAACGCAAGTGGCACCCTGCCGAGCGCCCGAGAATACACCGAGTCGGCACGGGGTGGGGCGCGGCCCAGGCTCATAAGATTTCCGGCGGGCCGGACCGGGAGCCAGGGCCGGGCACCGGAGAATTCACAGGCACGTCATCAGCTTGCTCGAGTCAAGCGACAGCGACAATAACCGCGGTCTCAGACACTGAAGTGGGATATGCAACATGATGAAGTCAAAGTCAGGCCTCTATTATCGAAAGTCTAAAATTCGCATTCTATCCGTAAACTATTTCTGCGCTCCTTGACGGCGTGCTATCGCGTCTCCCTGAACTATGTCTCAAGTCTATAACCAATTACCCATATAATCAACAACGCTAAACTTTTGATGTCCATCTATCCTTCGTATCAAGTCATTTCAATCATGAATTAGTGCGCCATCACAGGACCGTTGACGACTCTGCCAACGTCCTTAACCCCGAAGATACTCGCGACAACACCAACACCGGCAAAACCAACGCAGCACCATAGACCTGTTCCGTATTGTTGCAAGATACCGTGACCGTTCTTTGTATCGACCGCCTGCACAACTGCGCTTGCAACCGCAAGCCCAAACCCGCTGCCGATTTGAAATGCGGTGTTGATCATACCGCCGCAGAGACTCTTGACGTTCACTGGAACTGAGGCCAGGAGTACGACGGTGATAGTGCAGTACACGATTGTCGTTCCAGCGACACCGATGACAGTTGTAGGGAATATATGCTTCCAGAAGTTGAGGTCATCGTCCCTCATAAGCGCGGCAGGCACTGGCGCGATAGCGCAAATGGCCATGCCTACAGCGAGAAGCCACTTGGGGTTGAATATCTCTAGCATGCGAGACATAGAAAGGCTGAAGATGAAGCCCGTGGCACCCATAGGAAGGAAACGAAGTGCAGTCTGGCCGGCGCTGAGCTTGTTCACTTCCTGCGCAATAAGGGTCGTGTAGTAGATGGTCGTCTGGTATCCGCCGTACATGACTGTCCAGAGGTTAGCAGATGTCTCTGAATCGAGAGTTCGTATGCTGGAGATGCAAGACTTACCGAATCCGCCGATCCACAGAGCAGCAAAGTTCTCAAGTTTCCACAGCGAAAGTGGCATGATGGGGTTGGCAACCTTCTTCTCAACGTAGGTGAAGGCAACAATCATGGCAATGCTAACAATGAGCAGAGCAATGATGAAAGCTTTGCCCCAACCGTACTCGCCACCGCTGGAGAGCACGAAGCTGAGCAAAATAAGCCCGGCAGTTGAGAGACCAGCACCGACAAAGTCTAGCTTGGGGCGCGAGGTACCCTCCATGCGGTCCTTGGGGAGGAAGAACCATCCAATCGTGCCGAGGGTGCCGGTGACTGCGACTGGGATGTAGAAGATGTATCTCCATCCCAGTGACGATGTCAAGAACCCTCCGAAGATTAAGCCTAGGCAGAATCCAACAGCTCCAGCGGCACCAAAGATCGTCAGAGCAAGAGTTCGGTCCTTGGCGACGAAGTAGTTGCTGATGATGCCCACCGCCGACGGTACTGTCATGGCGGCGCCGATGCCCTGGAGGGCTCGGAAAATTGAGAGCTGAATGAATGAGGTCGCGAAACCGTTGGCAATGGTCCAAATGCTCAAAGTCGCCATGCCAGAGCAGAAAATCAAATTTCTTCCGAAGCGATCGGCCAGAACTCCGGACAACAGCAGGAAGCCGCCGAAAGTCAAGGTGTAAGCCGAGATAAGCCACTGAAGCTCCCCGCTCTTGACGTCAAAGTCTTTCTGGATAGCTGGAAGAGCGATGTTCACGCCTGTCCTGTTGAATTGTTAGTATCTTCTCTTATGGGGCCTTTTCTGCCAACAAAACTTACATGAAAACGTTGTCCATCAGTTGTGCACCGCAGGTGCAGAGGAGTACAATCGCTCCACGGAAGGAGGCGACAGTGCCGACGTCTGGGTAAGCTTGCCCCGCGCCGATTTCGTATTCGGCCGGTGTCTGAGTACCGGACCTCTCTCCTGGGGATGGCGGTCCTGAGGCAAAGCCGGAGACTGGAGATGGCGGCCGCGTCGACTGCGGTGTCGTAAACTCGGAGGGAACTTCTCGAATAGTGCTAACGGGACCAGGCTTCGCCGCGCGAGGGAATGCAGGAAGCTCGAAGACGTGGTCTTGAGACTCACGCCTGTCTCGCGATCGGTGGCGGCTCAGGGCGGAAGCACTCAGAACGAGTTCCTCCATATCATCCGGGCGCTCATGCTCAAAGGTGACTCGCGAGGTCTGCGAAACGGTGCTCCTGCGTCGAGTAATAGGAAGACCTGGGAAACCGGGCGGCGGGACGAAGGTAGGGACCTCTTCGAGTGCTGAGGTACGGCGACCGAGAGACTCGCCGTCCGCGTCAACAGAGACACGGCGGGTGTCGAGGGAGTGCTTCTCGTGCGTCATCTTGTGTTGTTGTCTCCGAGCAGAAAGCTGGAATTTCCGAGACAAAAAGACAGGATTAACGTCAACGGTGAAAACTGACGATGCTGTGCAATGGACAGTCGTCGTTAAAATACGCTCAAATGCGGTGTGTGAAACAGTGCGGTCATCTTCCGAAGGCTCTCACAAAGGTTGCAGTGATGTCAAATAAATCCTTATCAGTTGGGCGCTGTTCGCCACATGGCAGGCTCTGCTCCCGACCTCAGGCGATTCACATGTCGTGATGCTCCACAGAGTTTCCACAGCTTTTGCGCGCCAATCCTACTCAAAGTTTCTCCAACCGTGGAGTTGTGGGAAACTCGAGATTATCTAATCTTGTAGAACAATCTGGACATAGGGTCCGATGAGTTGCTCGAACAGCCCTCGTTGACAGAAAAGCTTTTAGATAGCTTGGCATGGGGGTTCACAGACCATTTCAGGCTGCGATATCGCCAATTTGAAATTTTCATAGGGCTGAATGAGCTTCAAGAATGCTGAAAACCGACTCATGAATTTGAATGTCCGGCACAGGTTCCGCTCTCACAGCCGTCATCGGGGTCCACTTGCAAGACTTTCACAAGGATCCAGGCGCTTGCGCCACATGCCGCTGACGCTTGGTATTTCCTATCCTGCTCAGACAGGCAAGTTTTCGGCGCGAACCCCCAAGCTCCTTGTGTCTCTCTGGACGGTATCTGGTTCCCTGTCGATCAGAACCCTTTTGCGCGCCGCCACGTCTTGGGCGACTGTCACCCTGCGATGCACCACGATGAACTTGCATCGCATCACATATTTTTGAAAGGCCACCGCTATTTCCAAAACCAATCGGAACATTCTCCAGCAATTGCAGATTTCTCTGAGCTAAAACATCCCGCGATACCCTTGCCACGTGGTTCTCCTGGAAGAATGGTTCGCTATCACATGTCTTGTTGAGCTGTTGAGAAGGGATTTGCAGCGTTTGTGAAAACATTGCAGCGACCAATCAAGAGTAACGCTCGGAATTGTGCTCCGAGAGCTGCAAAATATTCATCCAAATCGCCTGATGCCCCCCACGCTCGCACCCTGTCGAAGATCACGATATTTCATCAGAGCCCAACGCGATAATATCGAAATTTTGCGGTTTGCCCTTTGTGATGTCGGGCATGAACGAGCTCGCGGCCCGGAAACACCAGGATAATTGGTTGACAAGACATTGTCCCTCGATTGCGTCTCAACATCCTGTCAGTCTCACCTCATTTCTCGCTGAATTCAAATAGCCCTTCCGAATCACTAAGCCGTATGAGCTGGACCATTCTCTCAGCTCCAACACTGTCTTCCCCTCCTCCGCTGATGCGGGACATCGTGGATCATGATCGGTGCTCCATCGCCTTCTCCACAGTGAATGTTCAGGTGAGTCCCGGGGCGCCGGGACTGGGGATTCCCGTCTTAGTGTTGGAGCGCAAATCCTTCAGCAGGTTCAAGCTCAAAATATAGCAAGTGCATATAAAAGACAGGTCCATAGAGATGGACGTTTGTTGACATGAGCAGATCAACTTTGCGAGTGATAGTTAAGTTGAATCAGCGCAGCCGCCAAAGCAAATAAAGCAAATCGGCCCTCATATTTGCTTATTTGCCTTATCGCCGCTAAATCCTTGCTTATTTGGCTCTGTTGATAAATCTATCAAATCAAAGGCACGTGAATGCTTGTATTGCCTGATTAGGAAATAATTGAAGCTATTCACAGGTCTCTCTAGATGTCACGGATGAACTACGAATCCATCGATCCCTGAGACTGGTAGAACCCCTC